CATGCCGGTGTCAGGTATCATAGAAAGGTAATGCAGGGTATACTTTAATCTCAAAGTCCTGGAAGAAGTAGCTACAATACAAAAAGGACTGCTAAATTTCATTTCCTTGAAGAAACCCTAAAACATCTTTGTGCGTTATATATACTATATACTTAGCAAAATAAAAAGCAAAGTTAGGAAAATGCTTTTTTTCTATGTAGTAGAACAGTTTTGAACAACTGAGTGCTGAACTTCATATCAAGAACACTGACATAAGGCTTTGGCTGGTAAACTGCTTGATGAGCAGCATCTCAGCAGGTAAGAATCATTTCTGCCTGTTTGCAGAAAGGACCGCAGCTGCAGAATCAGAAAGGGAAGACTGTCCTAAGAGCTAACGGCTTTATTGATGCTAGTATCTTTAGCCACAGGCAGCTGAAGCAGGCAGTGGAAACTACGTCATCAAATTAAATCTCCTCCTCCTAATCACACACAGGATAATCTGGTGCTTTCCCCCTTTCCTCTTAGGTTAAAAGACGTTATTCTAAAAAAAACCTGCCAGTATGCTGCACCAAAAATAGATGAGAAGTGTTCAGAACAGTAGCTTACTCTGATCTTCAAATCCTCTTGTTTTAATCTTTCTGTAACATCAATCACTGTACATATCAGCATGCTGCAATTTGCAAAACATATTCACAAACTCCTGAAAAAAAACTGTCCAATGATACCAGGCAATAGGACATGTTTCGATATAACCCTTTACATTCGTCATCTTTACAACATCCTTGATCTGCAACAGCTAAGGAAATTCCAAAGGTATAATGTCTAAATCCAACATAACTATGAATGTTTACAATGGCATTCTACTCCTAGGTGTTACCTACAGGTAACTCTACTATCTTAAGAGTGGACCGTCAACTATGACACAATTATTTGTGGAAGGAATTTATTTCCAGGGCCCTTCCTTCACATACATATAACATCAAGGTAGATTTGGCATACACTGTGTTATCAGCATATTGTAATTTCTTACCTGAGGTTTGCACACACATCCACACTGATGTGGATGTGGACTTTCAGGAAGTGTAATCCAGCCCCTGAATCCAATTTATAAACAACGCCTCCAATTGAGGTAAGCAGTCGATCAAAGCAAATTCTTATAAACGATCAGAACTGACATAATCCAAATGAAAATACAGTTGCATCAATGAACCAATGCAGACACAATGTCAGTGACTCTTCCCTTTTACTACTTATCATTGAAAGAATACTCACTGGAGCATCTTTATAGACATAAAGGTCTAAAAAATGCATGTGTCTCAAAACCAAAAAGCCTCAAATATAGAGCTGGGTTTTTTTTTCCTCCTAAAGAGAGCCTAAATTGGGAGGTAAGTTTAACTAATGCAGTGCATTTTTGTAACATGCAGATATGACATCCCTAGGGAAAAGGGAGACGGAGTTTCAAGTCATAGGCTTTCACAAGCTTTAGTTACAGCAGATTTCCATCTGAAAGGAAAGGAACACCTATCACATACCTATTACATAACAAAGAGACATCTGAAGAGAACCTTGGCTCTATTTTCATCAGAATAATTTAAAACCAAATACTGCTAACCATTCTCTTAAGGACTCTTGGTAAACTGACTTTCTGTATTTGCCCAAGGATTGACAGTTTAAGGAAAGGAAAATGAAGGTTGGATGAATAAGCACAATGCCTGAGAGTTCATGACAAGAGCTGGAAGAAGGCAAGGAAGGAGAGGTGGTTGACAACATCTGAATCTTGCTTCTTTTGGATGCAGTTGCAGAAATACCCTTCTGCTTCAAATTAGGATTCTAGACCTGCTCTTCCAGCAACAGTGACTTGGAGGACAGCTGCTAATCCAACTTACTACTACATGTATCTTTGGCCTTGACATCTAGGCAGACTGCCATAGAATCAAGATGCTGCCTTCTTTAAAATTAGCTTGTCAACTTCTAAGCAAAACTTACATGGCCTTCCATGCCTTCCTGAGGACTCCAGTCTTTCCAGCTGTTTCTTCCAGCTTTTAGCCGTATCACCTCATCTGGCCACTGCAGCTCTTTCCTTTTTGACACGTTGATCCCTTCCAGTACTTGACTGGGATCCATTAACTATAAGTAGGAATTGAGTTTTGACTGTTAGTTCAGCCAAAATTTAAAAGAAACAGATAAACTGTAACCTTTTGCATGCTTCTGGAGAACTGACTTAACTCATAGAAACCCATTTCTGACCAACTTCAATGTCAGAAACTCAAGCTCCAGGCTGGCAAAAAGCCTGAGCAACACAGAATTTGGAAATTAGGCACAGCTGACAATACACCAGTTCACTGCTAACACAGCGGTTCTGGTTCCCTTTCCCACCCCTTCTTTGAGTTATATATACTGGCTCATAGCAGGGTCTGAGGAGATGGCACAACATAAGCATTGGCAGTACATAGTCCAGTAGCAGGGAAGAGTCAAGTGATGATGAGCTATTAAAACTGGCTCATCACTTCTTACAGAATATCTTAAGAAACACAGTCCTGGAGAATTTACTGTTAGGCTGAAGAACCATTTATCTACTAGCATGGTCAGTTGAGACCCACCCCACGTTTTGAAGTAAACTGGCCTTTCCACAGGCACAGCAGGAGAAAACTCCTGAAAATTTCTTCCCATTTAAGGACAGCGAAAACTGCATCATGTCCGCTATCCAAGGGCATGTGTCAACTCTGCCTGTATCCTCCTCACACAGAGGAATTAAGCAATTTCATAAAAGGGCCCTTGCCTGCACACAAAAGCCACTAAGCACAGATCTGCAAAATCAATTTGTTATTTTTGCCCACTATGATGCAGTTCACTAAGTTTACTAAAGATTACTCTAAAAGAAGGCAATATCAGCAATGAAGTCATATTTGTTATGATCTATCCTACTAAACACACTTGTGATGTTTCCCACTAATATACTGCCAAAGACACATATGTGAGGCTAACAAAAGCTAGAAGAGCAAGAATACAATTTTCTGGATTTTCACAAAGCAAGTAAGGCTGCCACAATTAACTTAGTCAATGGTGTACTGTTTGCTGCTCAGGCAGCCCAGACTTGTGGCAATAACCAAAGAATAAATACATACAGAATTGAAAGTGTGTGTGTGTATATATATATATATATATATATCTCTCTATCTATTTTTACACTTAATTTTGTGGAAAATCTGTTTGGTTTAAAAGAAAAAACCTAGTTGTTTTCTGCCCTGCAAATGAAGCTGTTTAGCTTTATATGTTGTAATGAATAAAGGCAAACTAAATATGAAGTGGAATTGAGTTCAGTTGACATTCTCAAAGCTGCACTACAGCAAAACATATAAGTAACAAACAGGAACGTCTAAGCATGCAGGAAGGCTGGTTGTCCAGAAAAGCTTTTCCTCACATTAGTTCTCCAAATGTAACTACACAATAGTCATATACTGAGACATTCCAGGTTCTGTGCTTATTTAAAAGTAGTGATTTCAACAACATACAAGGTAACACTAACAAAAGCACGTGGAAGCATAGGTTAACTTGTTCTTCTGGACTATTCACCTGGATTCTGTAAATAACGTCATCCTTTTTGGCTTGCATTTGATTTGCAGGGCTTGCATTACCACCTGACTGAGTTTCAGTTGCATTACTCCCTCCTTCTGTCCCTAGAAAGCCCACAAGGGCATGCTGTTTACAGGCTGGGATGCTTTGGCTGGAGCTGCTAGAAGAGGGCAGTCCATGCTGCGCGCTGACCCCAGTCTGGCCAGTAGGTTCCATTTGGTTCACCATAGATAGGCGGGACTGGATGGATGATGGGAGGTTACGAAGGGATATCTGACTGGTGGAAGAGCGACGACAAGGCACAAAGCCTGTTGTGGATGTGCGAAGAGATGAATGACGGCTGCCGGAGCAATAAGAAGATGAATGGCTAGCTACTGAGGCACGGGCAGGGGAATGTCTGACAAGGCTGGACTGCACAGAGTGAGAGCTGTGACTGGTGCCTAAAAGTAAAAGATACAGAATCAGGAGAGTTTGGTAAAGCCTCCCACACACATTAGATTGCCAACACAAAAATGCTTTAGCACTTAAGATACAAAATTCAGATGTTGCTGATGAGACCCGTCAAACAGCTGTACTGCAGATGATCTCTGTTGCATTTCATATAGCAGAGAATTTGAATACAATCCATTCATCTTATCTTGGAATTTCATATTCTGTTCAATTCACAATCCCTGCAAGACAAGTAGCTTGAAAAATGCTTCAGCCTTGCTCTTCCCACATTAACAGTTTGTTTCTTAGTATTAACACTTAGGTTTCCCATACCTAAGGCACTAAGGCAGGTAGAGATGCCCATGTTTCAAAATACTAAACATTCTTTCTTAATATGCCTGACTGGATGTTCAAAGATTTGAGTCAAAAAATGTTAGAGTAAAAGCTGTTCTTAAACAATTTCAGTTAAATAACACACTTGAACTGAAAAACAGGAATTGCCATTTATAAGCATTTGTGTCATTGCTTTTTCTATACTAAGCACTTGTAGATAAATCTCCACAGCTGGTAGACCTAATTATGTTGTGTAAAAAAAAAAAGTTCATTCAACTACATACTTTTATATTCTTTGGGAGTTCAGGCAGTGTTTCAAAAGCTTTTTCTCAGCTTTACTGTTTATCACCTCCCTAACTACAGATCACTACGGACGCTTGGATAGGATTTGGCTAAAATACTATGGAAATAGAGAATCCATTCCGCTGTATAAACAAGAAATACAGAGACATTCACCAAAAAATGACAAGTTCAGCATTTGCAGACAATATGACAGAAGTGAAAAGATCCAATTTGTAGAGATATATTATAAAAATTTATTTAATCTATTTTGCCAGCACAACTATACTCCTATTGCTCAAATCTCTGTTTGGAAATCTTGCATTGCATAGAACAGCACTGTAGTTTGAGATGAATCCAGCAGGTGTTAACACTAAATAATCAAGTCACTTTTGTTTGCTTTTCCTTTTAACTTAGGCCTGTTCCAAAGAGCTGAAAGGCCAGATCTGGCTATAAGATTGTACTTGCATAAAATTGTTGCTTTGTTTTATTTCAACTTTACCCAGAGTGGAGGGATGAGTTGGTGGATGAGCTGCAGGAAGAGTTGTGGGATGAGCTGCAACAGGAGGGTGCTGTACTGCTCCAGGTCCCTGCCCTGTAGTTGCATTCCCTCCTCCTTGCGACATGCTGCTCTGCGACTCATTGATAGTTGCATTGTTACTTGTGCAAGAAGCTCCACCTCCAGCATCTGAATCTTCAATATTTCCACCACTATTGCAGCCAGCTCCACAGCCTTTCCTTAATCTGAAAACACAATGCAATTGACACATCAAGTCAGGCCTCCTGACCATTGGGATTCCAAGAAATGCCTTATGATGACAAGCAAAATGCTTTACTCAGCACAATCCACAGCAGTCCCTAAAATCAGATAAAACTTGACTTTATTTTCTCAGAATATACTTTGCAAATATAAATGTCACTTTTCAAGAGACTGCAATTTTCTTCATGACAGTTATTCAAGTAACAGTTACTTATGATAAGCCAAATGTTCATATAAAATAGCTTTTGAAAAAAATCAAGCCACCTCTGAAGTACAACAAAGTGATAAAATCCTAAAAATAAAATGCTGGTAGAACATCCTGGTTATTTTGCAACAGTTTAGTAAAATTTATGCTCCTGAACACGAGTCAAATATTCTTGTACTGCAAAACCTTTGTCTATTCAAATGAACAGAAAAAGAATGTTTGTTGTTTTGTAATTTTTTTTTAAACATATTTGGTTTCTTGTTACATTCAGTAACATACTTACAGTTGTTTGAAGCACATATTGCAATTATTTGAATCACAAATTGTAGTGTGAATTTTGAACATTCAAGAGAGTAGGTTAGCCAACATTTTCCAGGGTACATAACCATACAGGCTTTTCACCACATCGTTTGCATTAATAAACTTCAAATGGACACAAAAAACACAGCACATTCCTCCTCCCTTTAACTCTTACTTTTTAATTATTCTTTTCTTTCCGTCTCACTCAAATACACTGACCACTCCTTTCCAATTTTATTTGCCCCTGGGATCCAGAAGCCCGAAGCATACCCAGCTTGGATCCAAATACTGTTGTGTGTCATACTTTCACCTGTTACTCTATCCACATGTCAGACAAGCAGATGGCAACAGAACACCACAGACTGTAGTAAGTGCGGCATATTCTGGGGTGAAGCAGCACATTCTGTTTTGATGTGCTGTAGATGTCTAAGTGTAAATATGATCATCAGAACAGCTACAGGACTGTTCCAACTATGGCACCAGCTCCTGGAACTGGCAAGAACTGGGACACACATTTCTGAATGCCACACACAGCTGCTACTGTTGCTTTTGGAGCCACAGTCATAAGGGCCCAGAAGTGCAGTAAGGTTCCCATGGCCTATAAAACACAGCAAAGCAAGAGTTTCTACTGGGTTACTGAGGGCTCATGTGGAGGGAAGATTATATTATCATCACTCCAGTTACTTATTGTGGCTCTGACATACAGGGTATAAGCACTCGTAGAATTCTGAACAGCTAAAGCTTGCGTTACTGTGTATGAGCATACCCTAACAACATTAATATCAGCACTTTCATGCTGAGTATTTGCCAGACAGGAACCCTACCAAGTAGTCCTGATTCTGTAAAGACGGTGTTACAGACTGCAGAAGTGATGGTACTGAAAAAAAGTAATACAGAAGTTGTTTGGCCTGTCATTATCAGACCTGACATTAGAACTGAAGTTGTAGTGCTTGCATCTAGACTTTGTCCTGTTTTTTTTCTGAGCTCTCATTTACATAGTTTGTGGCATGTTACTTATACACCTTGAAGATTAATCCCATACCAAAACAGCTGCCATACGTTACAGATGTGCCTGAAATAAAACTCACGGCTTATTTAGTTTTATATGATTGAATATTATAAACCATGCTGTGTTGGGCATGTACGGGACCAGTTAATGGAATATGAGAGCATGAACACGTACTAATGAGAAGTCATTTCCTCAGCTCACCTGTGCCATGTAGACACTATGAAGTTTCTGATGTTTCCTAAGCTGATAGCTCCTCCAAGAATCTCCTTAAGCTGTTCATGACTATCTGAATAGGAAGTAGTCAAAGGTGAGACATAGATTGGGTATCCAATTGGCTGGTCACAAGAGGAGTTGATCATGTTCCTCAGAGCTTGTTTTGCATTTTGGATACTTCCTCTTTCAGGATTACGATTACGCAGGAAGACAAGCTCCTGCTGTTGTCCTGCCCACAGGCCACGCACACACTCCTTATTCACCTGCAAAAGCCAAGTTAGAACGGCTGCGTCAGAAAGTGAAACAGTGAGAATGTGTGATGACTGCTTTGCTATACTTAGACCTTCACGAGTGTATGTGTAATATTGCACTGCAGAACTGCAAGCATTCACATTCACTTCTTTAAAAAGCTGAACTTATGGACACAGGCTGCAACAGCAAGAATAAAGCAAATCTAAGAATGGGATGAGAAATAAGATATTTTAAGTCAGGAACTGATTTTCTGATTAAATACTTCCACTACATGAAAAGAAGCAGCTCGAGCAATGACAGATCAATAACCAAAAAGTAACAATTCGAGTTGACGCAGCAGCTTGGTATAGTTTTTAAAATACGCCACAACATACTGCAACATGGAATGCGCACAAAGCTTACCTTAATGACTCTGAAACTGAGATACCGCTTATTCAGCATAATGATTTTATATTCATTGGTGCCATCATCCATCACGTGACGCAGAGCAAGAAGGGAGGGAGAATTGGAAAGAACTGCACTGCGCCAAGCAGGGTCCCCTTCATGTGCTATAACTAGATTTTCTTCATGGGTAGTTATGGCTTCATAAAGGACAGAAGGATCATCATATTCATCTGGAGAAGTAAAGTGATCCTGTTTCCAAGAACACACGTTCAGTAAGATATGATTAAGATTTCAGATGTAACTACATATAAAAAGCAGACATTTCACACCTCAAAGCCTTGAAAGGCTCAGTGCATTACACAAAGTTAGACATCAAAAATATTAGATACCTACTAAAGATTATTGTTAAAGACAACCTCTTTTCCAACAGATCATTTCTGTTGGCTTCCTTTTTAACTTAAAACTTAAAACCAAAAGGATTGGAAGGACCTGTCTATTACTGATTCAAGTAAATTTCTAGTTCAATTTTACACTAGATTGATATCTATTTATATTGCCTGCAGAAGCATTTTAGTTTTATCTTCTTTGCTTATTCACAAGTCTCCAACTGTAAAACACACTTCAGTAATGCACTGATTATTCATGGAGACTGTATTACACGAAAATAGCAATAGGAAGAAAAAAACCCAAGGTTTATCTCTATTTTCTATTAAAAAGTTCACATTAATACTTGATGACAGACTTCCAGCATCAGATACTATCACAGAACTTACGTTACTGCTAGTCAAACAGAAACACAACATTTGCAAGTTCAATTCATTATTAGGTCACATCACTTTCTGGTTAAAAAAGGATAGCGGTTAATAGCTAAAATCACCAACACCAGCTGAAACCTCTATATGCTATTGCACTGCAAGTGAATAAAATCACCTTTTATAGATTAATACAACAACGTTCAGAAAAAACGCTTTTTATTGTTAGAAATATTTGTATTTTTCTCCTTTTTTATTCTCCGACTTAATTCAAGCCCATTCTGCACAGAATCATAGAATCATTTCAGTTAGAAAAGACCTCTAAGACCAACCATTAACCTAGCACTGCCAAAGTCCACCACTAAACCATGTCCCTAAGCACCACACCTACACATCTTTTAAATACCTCCAGGGACAGAGACTCAGCTACTTCCCTGGGCAGCCTGTTCCAGTGCCTGACAACCCTTTTGGTGAGGAAATTTTTCCCAATATCCAATCTAAACCTCCCCTGGCACACAACTTGAGGCTGTTTCCTCTCATCCTATCGCTTGTTACTTGGGAGACCGACCCCCACCTCGCTACAACCTTCTTTCAGGCATTTGTAGAGAGCGATCAGGTCTCCCCTCAGCCTCCTTTTCTCCAGGCTAAACACCCCCAGCTCCCTCAGCTGCTCCCCACCAGACTTGTGCTCCAGACCCTTCACCAGCTCCGTTGCCTTTCTCTGGACTCACTTCAGCACCTCAATGTCTGTCTTGTAATGAGAGGACCAAAACTGAACACAGCATTCGAGGTGCAGCCTCACCAGTGCTGAGTACAAAGGGACGACCACTGCCCTAGTCCTGCTGGCCACACTGTTTCTGATACAAGCCAGGATGCTGTTGGCCTTCTTAGCCACCTGGACACACTGCTGGCTCATATTCAGGTGGCTGTCGACCAACACCCCCAGGTCCTTTGCTGCCAGGCAGCTTTCCAGCCACTCTTACCCAAGCCCATAGCATTGCATGGGGTTGTTGTCATCCAAGTGCAGGACTCGACACTGAGCCTTCTTGAATTTCATACAATGGGCCTTAGCCCACTGAGCCAGCCTGTTCATACGCCTCTGCAGAGCCTTCCTACCCTCAAGCAGACCAACACCCCTGCCTAACTTGGTGTCACCTGCAAACTGACTGAGGGTGCACTCAATCCCCTCATCCAGATCATTGATAAAAATATTAATCAGAAACGACCCCAATACTGAGCCCTGAGGAACACCACTTATGACTGGTCGTCAACTGGATTTAACTCCGTTTACCACCACTCTTTGGGCCCAGCCATCCGGCCAGTTTTTTTTACACAGCATAGTTTTTTACCATCCAGCCAGTTTTTCATCCATCCAAGTCATGAGCAGCCAGTTTCTCCAAGAGAATGCTGTGTGTGGGAAACAGTGTCAAAGGCTTTACTAAAGTCTAGGTAGACAACATCCACAGCTTTTCCATAATCCACTAAGTGGGCCACCCTGTCATAGAAGGAGATCAGTTCAGTCAAGCAGGACGTGCCTTTCACAGCCCATGCTGACTGGGCCTGATCACCTGGTTGTCCTGTACGTGCCACGTGATGGCACTCAAGATTATCTGCTCCATAACCTTCCCTGGCACTGAGGTCAGGCTGAGAGGCCTGTATTTCCCCAGCTCCTCCTTCTGGCCCTTCTTGTAGATGGGCATCACATTTGCTAACCTCTAGTAAATTGGGACCTCCCTGATTAGCCAGAGCTACTGACCAGTGATGGAAATCGGCTTGGTGAGCACTTCCGCCAGCTCCCTGCATACCCTTGGGCAGATCCCATCTGGTCCCACAGACTTGTGTGTGTCCAAGTGGTATAGCAGGTCACTAACCATTTCCTTTTGGATTATGGGGGCTTCATTCTGTTCCCTGTCTTCCAGCTTAGGGGGCTGGTACCCAGAGAACAACTGGTCTTACTATTAAAGATTGAGGCAAAGAAGGCATTATGTACCTCAGCCTTTTTTTCATCCTTTGTCACTATGTTTTCCTCCCCACGTCCAATAAAGGACAGAGATTCTCCTTAGCCCTCCTTTTGTTGCTAATGTGTTTAATAGAAACATTTTTTTATTGTCTTCTACAGCGGTAGCCAGATTAAGTTCTAGTTGGGCTTTGGTCCAACTTTTTCTCCCTGCATAATCTCATGACATCCTTGTAGTCCTCCTGAATTTCCTGCCCCTTCTTCCAAAGGTCAGAAACTCTCCTTTTTTTCCCCACTGAGTTCCAGCCAAAATAACCCAAATATACTGAGAACACTTCAGAATTGCTGAAGTGGTACTTCTGCTGGTTTCACCAATGATTTCGCAATTTTTCTACTTTGCTACATGTACTCCTAACATATGCATTCTGCTAAATACAGGGAGTTCATGTTACATGAAGTTGATTCAATCACTGCTAGCTTTGGGGGACTTCTAGACTGTGCAATGAATGCAAAAAAACCACTTTATTATTAAAAAAGCACAACTAAGATTTGCCTATTTACTATGACTTTCAAGCAATCTGTTCTTCTAGACTATCAACACTTTCCCCCGCCTCACAGAGTGCTTATCACTCAGTACATGCTTTCTTGTACTTGCTGAGCTTAGTTAATAGACAGACTGGACAGAATTTTAGGTTGTTCAGCTTCACCCTCAGTTCACCACAAAGACCAACTCCAGTTTCAGCTTATTGAAAGGCAACCTTCTCATCTGAAACCTTACCAACGGGATCAATGAGTAACACCAAAGTGTCTTATTACAGCACTTCAAAGGAAAAAAAAAAAAACAACAAGAAAAACAATTCCCGTTGGAGGAAAGGGCTGTGCAGCTTTGAATGGCATGATAACCTTTTAAGCCAATTACATACATATGTGGGCAGGGGAAGAGGGAGGGAAAATATCAGCGGCTGTTCATAAGGGAATTATCTCTAGATGGATATGAAACAGGGCCTGATATGTTCTCTGATCTATATTTGATGAAATTTTCAAGCTCTGAGCATAAACTGCATTCTCTTTCACTCTG